AGTGAAAATATCATGAAGAGAAGAGCATACTGCTTTTTAGTAATTCTCAATAGTATATGTTACTGTAGTGCTTTCTATAGTTCAGTTTTATGCAAGCATGTTGATCACATAGTATTTAACATCATCATTTTTTCTAGTCCAGAATGAATGAGATTTTATTCCTCTAGTGGTGATGTAGAATAAGCTTCTTACTCAGGAGAGACCTCTCAACATGGTATGAGCCATTATTTTGAGTAAATATCATGGCAATGAGCAGGTTTTATGGAGGTCAGGCATGCTAGTTGTCCCATATTAATGTGACATGGTGTGATGAGTAATAAGCTGATGATTGGACTAGATGATCTTTTTCAACCTTAATGATTCTGTGATTCTATGATTCTATGATGTGAAACTCCCCAAATTCTGCATTGTGCATATTTGCATACACCATGAATGGCTCATACTTTAATACACTCAAGTATACCATGTGACAGGTAAATATATAATGATGCTCTATTGAACAAATTCCAGGGCCTTTCATCTCTCCAAAACGGTGCATTGGAATCTAGATAAAGGAGATAGGAGATTCTGGAGTTTTTGTTGTTCTGACCTTTTTTAATTTTAATTTTAATTTTAATTTTCTTTGATAACTCATTTCATCTGCAAGTCTCTCAAAGCCATTGCCAGCAGCAGTCTGTGTTAGGAAAATGAGACACATTGACATCTTCAATAGAAATATTAGACTATTTAATACAAATATCTATTTTATTGTTGCCTGTTCAGTCCATTCCTGCCTTTGTGTTCTGAGTTCAGTGGATACCATTTCCCTGCTTTTTCTTAAACCTCGTTTTCTCTTCAGCCAGTTACATGACATTTACAAAGCACAATCTGTCAGTAGTGAGGAGTACAAGACAGTTGCTGCAGACTCTGCAGGGGTGCTTATAGCCACCCAATACAGCTTCCAAGGCAGCAATGGATGCAGGAGGTGAAAGATAGGGCAGAGGTAATGTGTGTGGCTGCTCTACTGACCACTCTTGAACAAGATGAGGATGTGGCTTTTGCATCTCAATGTTCCTGGCTCAGAAACAAAGCATTTGGTACATCACAGTGAAGTTTATTCAGTGTCTGAGATTTAATCCCAGAAATCCACTGTTATTTTTGTATGATTTTTTTTTTGGCCAGCCATGTGATAAGAGGGAACAGACTGATAAGATGGCATTAGAGAGGCAGAGAATGCATTGTCTATATGTTACCATGGTGCTAATGATACACGCATCTTACTATATTGCTGGAGTGTTGGGTTTTTTTAATCAATTGTGTAAATTATTACAGCTATAGCAAACAAACTATTATTCCATTATACATTTCTCCTGTCAAATAAATAATTTAAAATTTTAAAGAGATTAATTTGGGTAAAATAGTTTTTTGTGTTACATTATTTAACAATTTACACTTGTATTCTGAACTGCTCTAAATTAGCTTTTTTTGGAGCTGTAGCAAGGAATAAATTATTCTCCTTTTTTGCTGCTTTTGAGAGGCTCATCTCATTACAATCTTGTGATGTTGTTTTTCTGAGCTGTCCTTTTCACACCTCTCGTTAATATGGGATAATTAATCTGTCTAAGGTTGAACTCATTTCCACATGTTTATCCAGAAATGTGTAATCAAAGCAAAATGGTACTGCTCAGGACTGAAACAAATGTGTGTGTTTTTCCAGAGCTGCAATAAAAATGTAGCAGCAGCTAAGCCTCGGATCTGTGCTCTGAGCATAGAACTGTCAGGGAGATGAGCACATCTTTTACTTTCTGGACTATTAAGAAAAAATACAATTAAAATTAAAAGAAAATAAAAAGAAAAATATGGAGAAATTTTGATCTTTTAATGTGAAAACTATCCAAGCCTTAACCTGCTACAGGCTGCTTTTTGGCAGCTTCTGAACAGGATGTGATGCTGATGCAAGTCTGGGTATCATCATCTGAGAATGTGTTGGGAACCAAAGACACCGAGAGAGTACTTCATGGATTCGAGTTGGAATGGACCCCAAAAGGGCATCTACTCCAACTCCCCTGCAATGAACAGGGGCACCTACAGCTAGGTCAGGGTGCTCAGAACTTGTCCCAGTCTGACATTGAATGTCTCCAAGAATGGGGCATCCACCACATCTTTGGGCAATGTGTGCCAGTGTGCCTCAGTACTCTTATAGTAAAAAACTTCTTCCTTCTACTTCCTTGGTCTAAAAGACTTCCAGGTACAACGTAAGACCTGGGAGTATCCTAGATCTTCAGTGAGTCTATGAGGGAGATTATGTATATCTCAAATGATGTGAGATGCTTATGTCTAGGTTCCTGAATCTCATGCTCAGAGCTAGGCTGTGACACCTGCTTTTAGGTGATTCCAGTGTGAGGTTTGGACCTTGGAAGAGCATCCTAAAGTAATCAGCTGAAGCACTCTGGGCTGCATTACTTGAATTGGCCTGGTGTTGACAGAAGAGCTTCTGATAAGTGTGTGTCTTTCACCATTACTGGGTTGCTCCTGGGTTGCTCATGTTGCTACTGGGTTGATATGGGGATGGATGTGTTACAGACAATGAGGTGTTCGGTACTATGGGAATGGCACAGGGAGATGGACAATGTTATGGCACCAATGTGTACTGTCCTTTTGCCAGGAAATAACAGAAAATAAAACATTGAGTTACTAAAAAAATCCGCTACCAGCTCTTTCAGTCTGTCAGACTGGGTAAAGGATGCTGCTTTGTGGCAACCCTGCACAAGGTGAGCATCCTAACATGAGGAGTCCTCCTTGATGACCCTGCAAAGCCATCTCTGCTTATGGGGAGAATTGTTGCATCAGCCATCTAGTTGCTTCCTGAATCCTAAGTTTGGCACTTCTTGTAGGTTAACAAGAGTCCGTCAGAGCCTGGGCTTTCATTTCATCACCTTGTACTGGTGAAGCTGTGTTAAGAAATGGAAGAATGCTTGCCCTCATCCATCTAGTTTAAACCTAGAAATCACAAATGGATTTTTGTGTCTTGACTTGTGAAATGTGCACAACTGATTAGAAAAGCCTAAAGAGATGATGAACTTTTCATTATCCAGGTTGGTTTCCAAACAGATTTTCAGGCTAAATTATGAATTCATCATGCACCTTGATTTAAAACTATTGACTCTGGCATATTCTTATTGGAGTTGTGTGAACTGAGAGTGAGAATATCCTTCTGGGTCTCTAAATGGATCACGTGTTGAAAGTATGGTCTCCTTCTTGCAATTTTATTTATTGGACCGTGAACTGCATGTAGGAAGGACAAGGGAACAATGTGACAGAGAGGCATTAATCATACACTGATGAGACAGTGATCAGCATTAGGAAGAAGGATGTCCTGAAAGATGGAGCAGAATAGAACTTGCTGCCTTTTAAAGAAAAGCCCAGAGTCATACTTTTAGGGAGAAACAGTTCAATAGGGAGAGCAGTGCCCAGCATCAGAAAAGACTTTGCTCTAAGCACAGCTTTGGTCAGCATGATGCGCTGTCTGAAAGGCTTGGATTTTGATGCGGAGAGAGAAGAGTGTTTAAGAAGAAAGCAGCACACACAGCAGTTCATTGTGTTTCACAGGACAGACATAGCTGACAATGTATATTTAGAAACACATTGGGATGGCTTTTGTTCAAGTCTGAAATGCAGCTCATTGCAGGAACTTTTTCAGCACTCTTGGTGGGAATTGTATTTCAGTGTTATTTTTATGGTTAATTATGAGGTCTGTTATTTCTGGTCAGAAGCCTTCCTTTGCAAGTGAAAAAATCTCACTTGTCCTTTGTTATTATAATCATCTTTGATATATACATATATTTCCAGGCTACTGTACCCATTCCTACTTGTGAAAAGGTATTAGATTTCCTCTGTTTACCCTTTTTTAATGTAAAACGTACACCACTTCTTAATGAAGGTAACATAGCTTTCAGATCTCATTGACATTAATGGTGATCCTAAAGAACAGAAAACCACTTTGTGTCCACAGGATTTGCTCACATTGTTATCCATTCAGCTGTAATATTCCCAGCTCAATAGCTTGTAGTCTCCATCAAGAAACTACTGGCATTGCAGGTGCTTATAATTCAAAAACAGAATCACAGAATCACAGAATGGCCAGGGTTGGAAGGGACCTCAAGGATCATGAATCTCCAACACCCCTGCCACATGCAGGGCCACCAACGTCCACATTTAGTACTAGGCCAGATTGCCCAGGCGCCCATCCAACCTGGCCTTGAAAACCTCCAGGGACGGGGCATCCACAACGTCTCTGGGCAGCCTGTTCCAGCACCTCACCACTCTCATAGTAAAGAATTTCCCCTGACATCCAACCTAAATCTTCCCTTCCTCAACTTTAAACCATTTCCCCTTGTCCTGCTGTTATCTACCCTTTCAAAGAGTTGATTCCCCTCCTGTTTGTAGGCTCCCTTTAGGTACTGAAAGGCTGCCATGAGGTCACCCTGCAGCCTTCTTTTCTCCAGGCTGAACAAGCCCAGCTCCCTCAGCCTGTCTTCATAGGGGAGGTGCTCCAGACCGCTGATCATCTTTGTGTCTCTCCTCTGGACCCTCTCCAACAGCTCTCTGTCTTTCTTGTACTGGGGGCCTGGACACAGTACTCCATATGGGGCCTCATGAGGGCAGAATAAAGAGGGACAATCACCTCCCTGTCTCTGTTGGCGATCCCACTTTTGATGGAGCCCGGGATGTCATTTGCTTTCTGAGCTGCAAGAGCACACTGCTGGCTCATGTTAAGCTTTTCACCCATCAAGACCCCCAGGTCCTTCTCCACAGGGCTGCTCTCAGGGTCCGCTCCTTTCAGTCTGTATGGATGCCTGGGATTCCTCTAGCCCAAGTGCAGAACCTTGCACTTTGCTGTGTTGAACCCCTTCAGGTTCAACCAGGCCCACCTTTCAAGCCTGTTGAGGTCCCTCTGAATGGCATCCTTTCCTTCCACCGTGTCAACCGCACCACTCAGCTTGGTGTCATCAGCAAACTTGCTGAGGGTGCACTCGATTCCACCATCAATGTCATTGATAAAGATGTCAAAGAGCACTGGTCCCAAGACAGACCCCTGGGGGATGCTGCTTGTTACTGACCTTCACCTGGACATACGTAACATATAACAACCTCTAAGCACTGACAGATACCAGATTAGTGACATGGTTTTATCTTATAGATGCTGAAGATGAATCTGAAAGAAATCCAGAGCTTGATTTCAACAGGATTAAGGCATTTGCATGCTGAATCCAAGCCAAGGGTTGGTTTGTAACAGCACCGAAAATCTGTATCTCAGGGCAAATCCATTAAAAAACAGAATAACCTAAATTGTAAGTTCGGAGCTTGAATTATGATCCTGAAATCCTCTGGTCAGCATTTTCTGGCTAGAGGGCTTTCAACTCTGCCCACCCATCTGTGCTGCCATACAGTTCCCCAGTGCTGGATACAAGGCCCCTGCAAGCTCAGCACCACACAGGGCTGAGGAGATCTGATGGATGGGGAATTGATGTTGGATGGAAAACTGGAGCATCACTCTTCCCCAGACCTGACCTGGTTGATCTTTTCAGGTATTTTGGTATTTTGTTCTGCCTTTAATAGCCTTTCATGAAGAAATTTCTTCATGAAAAGCATTTTAAATTGTCATTCTAAGCATTTTTTATCTGAGACATATGAATTAGAGGATGAAATAAAAGAGGTGGCTTTCTCAGCCTGAGGCTTCAAACCCACAATTGTCTCCTTCTGGGAAAATGCCCTTCTCTGTACACAGCATGCTGTGCTGAGTGGCTTAGGATAAACCTGGTATTTCTCATCTCCTACAAAAGCTATGTTGTGAGGAATAAAAAATTCTTTTTAAATATGCCAGAGCAAGTTCAGCACAAGATCCTATCTCTGTGGTACTGAGGGTCATACACTCAGCAGGAGAGAGGAGGACTTTCAGATTTCAAAACCTATGCTTTATTGTGTTTGCTTAATGTTAAAGGCACAACTGCCCTGAGGGCAGGCCCTCTTCTTGGCTGCCAGCTCCTAGGCACCAGTACCAAGTCTGTCTTCTTGCTTCATTTACCACATGCTTTATCTTCAGTTGCAGTCCCCTGGGACTGACCAACATGAATTCCACAAACAAAATCACTTTATGTTTGCCCACCCGCTGTTTCATTTTCTAAACACCTTCGCTTCCTGAATGCCAGCAGATCACTGCCACCAGCTGACTGCCTGAAACAAGAGAAAACATCCATTAGGTGGGTTTTGTGTGCACTGCAGTGCTGGAAAGGAAGCACCTGGCCATGTGAGAAGGGCAAATGTTTACTCGGTGGGACGTATCTGAGCAACCCAAACACTCTGCATGTGTATTGTTAATATGCCTGGCAGAGAGGAAAGCTGACAGAGAGCTTCAGTCAACCAAGAAACTCAGTGGTTGCCCGTGGTGCAAGCAACAAAGGATCAGTCACCACTGTGCTCTGGGTTCAAGCAGTTTCTGGTGGGAGAATGAATGCAGTCACGTCCTTCAGATGCACCTCTACGGGTCCTGATTTACACTGGAGATATCTCACAGAACATGATCCAAAGTGCAAAGGAAAGAAGAAACTGAAGATTTCAGGCAGAGATCTGGCATCAGTCCCTGCACAGGTCTTTGGGCTGGACCAGCTGCAGGCCCTGGAGATGAGTCCAGAACGAGAGAGCTGCCTGAGGTACCGCATGGAGCTGCTGCCCTGCGAGATCAGCCGCTTGAAGAACCTAACCCTCCTCTATATGGACTCCAATAACCTGAAGAAAATTCCTGCTGAAATTGGTACCTTGAAGAACTTGGAGAGGCTGACGCTGAGCAACAACCACCTGAGCTCCCTGCCCCCAGAGATGGGGACCCTGCAGCGGCTGCACAGCCTCCACCTGGCCAACAACAGCTTCACCCACCTGCCCGCAGCCCTCTGCCAGCTGAGCAGCCTCACCTTCCTGGACCTGAGCGACAACAAAATACGCACCATCCCCTCCAGCATCCGGCAGCTGGAGAAACTGGAAACGTTGCTGCTGCTCTTCAACTCGCTGGAAAACCTGCCCGAGGATGTCTGTCTTTTAAGGAATCTGCACACACTTTGGCTGGGAAACAACCATCTGCGATCCCTTCCACCACGATTTGGGGAGCTGGTCAACCTGGACTGGGGGTACAACTACTGTTCCTGCAATTTCGAAGGGAATCCACTAGAAAATCCTCCCCCTGAAGTCTGTAGCAGAGGTTCCGAGGAGATCAGAGACTATTTCTTGTCGTTTCATAGAGTACTGGCAGAATAGAAGACTGGGGTCAGCCCTTCAGCTGACTGACATGGGTTTATGCTGTGCAAATCATCTGCACAAGGAAAATGTGTTTCAGATGGAAAAATGTGGTGAAATCACTCTGTGAAGCTCAAAAGCTTCCTCTCTGCTGTAAGGTGATTTTTCTGACAGTCTTTTTTTGACACTAGTATTGAGTGATGGTGTATATCTTTCATCAGTTGTTTTAAGGACAGCTATAATCATTTCATTATTTATGGCTGTATAAATCTATCTCATGAAATGTTGCAGCCAAACGTTCAGTCAGAGAAAATGAACAGTATTGAGTCAGGGAGGATAGAGTCAGGTAAACACTTTGTGGTCTGTAAATAGAAGTAACAAGTTTGCATGCCAAGTCAATGCTTGAGTCTGGGCTTGAACAAGTGCAGACTGAGATTTATCTCAGTGTTTAATGCCATTCAGACTTGTGGATTTAGATTTGCTTCACATGGCTCAGAATTTCTTTACTTTTCATGGTATTTCACTGTTTTGCACTTGCAGAATCACCTCAGGGTTCTGGATAGAAGCAACCTATATCCAGGTTGCAGAAGGTAATATGCAAATGATGTCTCCATTGCTTTGGCAGAACATAATGTGTATCTTATCATGCTTCTCTTGAGCAGCAGCATTGGTACGGAACTGTGGCTCTCCTGTGAAACAGCACATAGCTGGGGCTGGTTTGTCAATCCCTGTGGAGTTACACAGAGCAATAATGGAATGTGGGTAGCCCTCCTTTATTGCATGCAGCCCCAGCAGAAGGTTTCCACCTCTACCATGTCTGGAAAAGTGTTCAGAGATATTAAAATATGAGTATGCAAACTTTCTGCAAGGGAATATTTCTGAGCATTCTTGTTTGCAGTCAAAAAAAGGCTTCATCAGTGCTGTATTATGGAAATTTGCTGAGACTCCCTTCCTTTCATTTTACATTCTCTCCCCTTAGTTTCTCATCAGTATTTTCTTTCCACCTACCCTTTGCTCTTGTTGGGTGTTTTCTGTCAGGCTGTTGCCTCTGTCCTTATCTTCCTTTTTCATTATTGCCTCCTCAAAAGCATCTCATTCCTTAATAAATGCCATTATTTGCCCTTTTTTGTCTTTTGTCTTTTATTTTTCATTTGGCCAGTGTGCAAAAAGCTGCAACTTCGTGTCTTTCCAGGAAGGAAGGGTGGAATTGGGCTTGCTGGGATCTGAGCATGGGTTTCCAGGTTTTGTGGAGAGAGGGACTGTTGGTGTGTGAGACACAGATATATGGATCATTAAGTGTGTTGTTCAGGCATTGTCTTCTCCTTGGTCATCAAGAGAACGTGAGACCAGAACAGATGCTGAAATTGTACCGAGTAACAAAACACAATGGCAGATATTCTTGGCATGGACTGATTTGTACAGTGCTCTGACATTGGGTCTGGCCCTGACCTATGTGCTGTGAAGCTTTCAAGCCAGTATCACCTTTTCGTGATTTAGTAACCAGATTTGGTATAGGTGTAGTATATCACATTGCAGTAAATTAATGCATGCTAATGATGGGCATGCAATAATGCCTCAGCAGCTTCTTTCTTTGTTTTCCTGCAGGCAATTATTTTTAAAGGCTTGGAGGCAAATTATGTGGCACAGGAAATAAAAGATTAAAGGGATTATATTGCCTTGCTTGTTTGGGTCTTCTGTGGCAGCATGAAGAATCAGAAACCTGTTTACTTTTCGAAGGAGATTTGCAGCATGATAGGAGACTGTACGTGAAGTAGCTCCTAAAGCTGGTCTTAGATAAGATGGAGGGTGAATCAAGGTGGCAACACTAAAGGCACTGAAGGACTTGAGTTTTGTTTCTGTTTCTATCACTGATTCATTACATGGAGTTGAGCAGGTATTCTCAAGGTCTTCTGTTGTATTTGCCTGTTCTGGGACAAGTGTGAGACTGAAATTCCCTAAGCGTGATCTTTTCTAGAGACTTAAATCTTACACACTGAATCTTGCCAGGGCAGCATCTTTAGCCGTGTAGTAAGAGGGACACTTTCTCATATCCTCTTTCAAACCATTTAGATCCTATCTTGCTGTCTCTCTTCTGCACTGCACAGGATTTGGTTCTGAAGATTTATTTCCTTTCCCTTCTGCTTCCTGGTCACCCATTCCCAAATGGAAGCTTGCTTGGGAAATTTGCAGCATCTCACAACTTTAATTTTTGTTTTTGGCCAACAACATTTCAAATAGAGTCATAGAATCGTAGAATCACCAAGGCTGTAAAAGACCTCCAAGATCATCCAATCAGTCCAACCAATGTCAGAAGTTTCACACCGAGGAGTCGAGCTCATTCCAAAGCCAGTCAGAGTTTACTTTATCTAGTCCTTTTCCTCAAAAAAAAACTGTGAATTCTAAAGCATGATTATATCCATTAACCATTGAGCTGTTCCTCCTGGTAATAAATTGAGACAAAAAGGGGGATAAGGCCTACAAGAACATGGAATCTTTAACAGATAGTGTCAGTACCTTTGCTATAGTTCTTCAGTCTGTAAGGATCAAGAGAAACTTCATGAGATCAATGCAAGTGAGTTGCTTGGATAGACTGAATGTCATGCAGCAAGAAGAAATTCTCCCTCTGTATCATGCTGTCTGATGCCTCTTCACCTCTCTTTGTGTCCTGGTGGCTTTCAAAATCTAATTTCCCAAAATGGAAACCCCAGCAGTGTGTAAGTGTTGTAGTATTCCAGCATCTGTTTTAGTGGCTTAGTTACACAGAGCAATAACTAGATCTTGGTGTTGTCATTAAGATGGTATTAAAATCTAATCTCAAACTGCTTATTCTTTATTTGTTGTACTATCTGTATTGTTGCTAAGCACTCTCATTTTCATCTGCTCATTAAAACCTCAAGTGTTAATATCAGCGAAGAGCAAACTGCTTGGATATGAGCCCCAGTGGAAAGGCTTAGATGTATGCCTGGACCCCCCATACTTCGTGGAGGAGCATTTGTTGAAGCTGACATTCAGTACTGAGGGAGTTGTTCATTTACTTCCCTTCACTCCATACCATACTGCAAACAGACCAGCATTGGAGAGCATTGTACCCTGGAACTGCATAGACTTTTCTTTGCAACAGAACAGTAATGACATATAAAAGCAGTGAGTGAAAAAGGCCCCAAATAGAATTTCAGAATAATAATATATGTAAGGGCAGAGAGCTCTTTAATTTAACATACAAATGTATGACGGTCACAGACTACTTCAGACTACAGATAAACTGCATATTTTTAATGCTGAAGAGTTCACCTGAGAATATGACAGATTTTCCACCAACTGAAGTCTGTAAAATCCCCAGTCTAGCTCATCCAAAGGTTTGATGGTAACACCCAACCTTGTTTTATGCAAAATGAAGCTTACAAGGACTTTTTATCCCTTTGAAATTACATGGCTACAATCTATAGCTGCTGCAAATCTAAAATAGTAAGTCTTGTACCTCAGCATGAACTTCTCGGTTTTCAAGGGATAAGAGCAATGCTGGAAAAACTGAAGGTCACTAAGCCAGGAGAACTGAACAAAGGGCTCTTATATTTGGTGTTGGTGTTGTGGTTGTAATAAAAACCAACAAAAGTGGTAGTTACTATTCTCATTCTTTTTTGGAGTCAGCAAAAGACTTCCAGAGGCACAAAAAGAAAACTGTCTCTGAATTCCTTTCAAGTGGAGTATAGCACCCTCCAGTTTTCCAAGTCTTTGAAAGGTCTTGTGGTTGATCAGTCAGTTATATTTCACATTAACAGACAGAAAAAGAAATGCCCTTTGGCAGATCCCAGAAAACAAAATACACTTCAAATCATGTCCTACACACAGTGCAAATGCATTTGACATCTGAAAGAAGGATGCTAGTTTCTGAAGGTGTAGTTGTTAAGGGGTCTGTCCTCAGATGTTTTCTATGAGTTCCCTAGTCTGGGAGGGTATCCATCAAAGAGGCCACCATCACTGACCACTGTTTCTCTTAGGTGGACCTACTCCAATGTACTTCCTGCCTACCTCCATGGTCAGTTGTCTTGTCTCAGAAGTGAGCAGTCTGTCTCCCACAAAAACCCTGTAATGAAGCTTAGGAAGTGTGGGATAGATGAGTGGATAGTGACGTGGACAGAACAGTGTCTGACTGGCAGAGATCAGAGGGTCGTGATCAGTGATGCAGAGCTATCTGGAGGCCTGTAACTAGCAGTTTTCTCTAGGGGATAGGTGCTAGGCGTGGTCTTGTTCAGCATCTTCATCAATGACCAAATAGTTTCAAAAAGAGCAAGTATAGAGTCCTAAACCTGGGGAGAAATAACTGCATGCATCAGAGCTGGTTAGGGGATGACCTGCTGGAAAGGAGCCCCGCAGAGAAGGATCTGGGTGTCCTCTTGGACAACAGGTTAGCTGTGAGCCAGCAGTGTGCCCTTGTGCCCAAGAAGGCCAATGGTATCCTGGGGTGTATTAAAAAGAAAGTGGCCAGGAGGTTGAGGGTGGTAATCATTCCTGTCTACTCTGTTCTGGAACACTGTGTCCAATTCTGGGCTTCCCAGTTCAAGAAAGACAAGGAACTGCTGGAGACAGAGGGTCACAAAGATGATGAGGAGCCTGAAACATCTCCTTTATGAGGGAAGTCTGAGACACCTGGCACTTTTCAGTCTGAAGAAGAGGAGACTGAGAGGCATCTTATCAGTGCTTATAAATATCGGAGGTGAAGTGGATAAGGCCAGGCTCTTCAGTGGTGCCCAGCGACAGAACAAGGGGCAATGGGCAGAAACTGGAACACGGGAAGTTCCTTACATACTTGAGAAAAAACTTCTTTGAGAGGGTGACAGAGCACTGGAACAGGCTGTCCAGAGATCTTGTGGATCCTCCTTCTTTGGAGATATTCAAATCCCACCTGGACACTCTTCTGTGCAACCTGAAGTAGGGAACCTGTTCTAGCAGCAGGTTAAACTGGATGATCTCTAGAACTTCCTTCCAATCCCCACAATTCTGTGATTCTGTGATCAAAAATTATG